GTTTCTTAAAGAGAAAAGAAGCTATACTTACCTCTTGGACACCGCATATACCTATGAAAGGATTCCCTGTGCCATGTCGTCGTTATAGAGTAAATTAAGAAGACTACTACTCTGTAACACTACAAAGCTAGATAACTCTAATAGGTTTAGATTACAAATAAATTAATCTAAGCTTTTACTTTTGCATGTAATTATATATATTTATATTATTAATATAAATTAAGTCTAATATATAGTACTGTATTTTTATGTATATAACTGCTTATATATAGTAAATTCTCTAATAAAGGTATAAGCAAAACCTCACTTTAACAACAAAAAAAAAACAAAAAAAACCATAATATTAAAACAAATTAATAATATTTGAAATAAATTGATATCTGGAACACAATATATATATATAAAATTAGCTTAAATGCTTTGTATTACAAATTTGCTTATTCAATAACTTCTCCATATTTATCTACAACTTTCAAAAAATATTTTGGATTCAAAAATCCATTAACACCCTCTGTTAATATAACGCCATTGGCTGATTTAAAAAACCTAATGCCGTCTTTTATAAATTATAATGTTAAAAAAAAAAAAGAGAAATCCTTAAGAACGACTACGAAATAGGGAATTGACTCGACAAAAAAATTGTTGATCGATGATTGATCAAAGAAAATTTTTCCTAATCAAAAATCAATTATATATGCTTAATCGAGTATAATCGATCAAGTATGGAATTTATAAGCTCAAGCATACATAATCGATCAATTATTATCGATTATATAATATCAGATTGACCGCGCTCCATCCGTTATAAAAACAAGCCGAGTTACTTTAATGACTTAAGTACCCGAGTCACCTGAGTAGCATAGTCATGATCTAGTTGATACGTAGATCTTACAGGTCACTTGGGTGACTCTTATACGGGTACAATCTCTACTCTACCATAACGATACCTTTGTAATTTTTTTGCTGGATAATTTTCTTGATCAATCAAATTTCAACTAGCGTCCCAAATCGAAAATCGATTAATTAATCGAATTGGCAACTAATCGATTGATAATTTTATTAGACAACTAATCGATTGATTGGTTAGTTAATCGATTACCGGTAGTTGATTAATCGACTAGTTGTTTTATACCTTGATCTTGTATTTAACGGCTACGCAATTATATCCAAGCCATTTCGATATACCAACTAATTGACTAGTCAATTAATCAATTAATTGACTAATCGATTAATCGATCAGTTAGCTATAATCGATTTTTTTAAAAAATTGTTGACCAACTAATCGATTGCATTTTTTGGTCCGATTTGTAACACTAATTTCAACCATTTGATCGATCAACATAATCGATTATTGATTGACTCGCTTTTGATCGAGCCATAACATTGTGCTCTATCATCAAGCCTAATCAATCATTGATCGAGGATTATATGATCGAGGCAATCCACTACTATGAAATCGGATACAAACCTTCCATAGCCTTTAAAAGATTGATATATATAAACAAGTCACAATTTGCTCTCATACCTCAACAAAAAAAAAAAAACACGATTTAATAGGCTAAAGTTAAAATATTGCCAAGTTCACAAGTATATGTCAATAGCATTTACCACTTGTAACGCCTTCGGTTCCAAATAGCCCAGTAGCAAGGTGAATGTGATTGCGATTCATTTTTGAAAGACCTTGTGATTCTACCAAAATAACAACAATTTTAATAAGAAATAAAAAAATAAAAATACGACACTTCTCTAACAATAAATAAACCTATATTTTTCCAATAGCGTAAATATGTTCCATGTATTACTTCAGGAAATTGCAAAGAATCCGTGATTTCTTTGAGTTCTAATTGTTTCACCTACAAATTATAATAATACTGAGGATAAATTCAAAAAATAGGAAAAAAATGAAAAATAATACCTCAATACTATGCCCTTGATTTGCTCGTATCCACCATGAAGAAACACCATCATCTGATGTTTCTTGCGTCAGAGCAAACCGCTTCTTATCACTATTATCAACAACGAATTTAATTTCTTCAAACGTCGTTTTTTTGAATCTCGGTAATCTTAACTGATCCCGTAAGAAAATGGTTGGTAAATTTTTATTCTAATAAAATACAAAAATGCCTAATTTTAGTTGAATCATACCAAATCATCTAATTTGACGTATCCGTCCTCACGAATATCTAGACCTTCGTCTTTAGCATGGTGACGAAGGACATATGATAGGGATTTTGATAGTTTTACAAGCGGCGTTTCGTCGCGACGATTCTTTTTGCTATGTCGTGAAGACATTAATATCTGACAAGAAGAACAACAGTTAAAGTTAAATTTGATCGAGTGATCACATTCCTATAATCACCTTTTTATAATAGCGGGACGGGAATATTAAATTCAAATTCTGCGGTCCTTATTTCTGCGCTCAATTGAATTTTTGAAGGCTCCACAATTGGTGTTTAAGCCGAAATCGGTATATGTAATTAGTATAAACACACTATCACACACTATCGACAGACGGGCTCCATTTGTACCTCACATGCAGGTGCCTGCTTCACAAGTCTGTTTATGCAAAATTATGCGAATATTTTTTCTTATTTCTGTAAATTCTGCGATCTTTTAAAACTACGCCATAAATTCTGCGATTTTTTGAAACCGCGCCATAAATTCTGCGAATTTGTACAATCGAACTTTTTTTAAAAAAACTGACCTTAACTCTCCGTATCCTGATTGTCTAATCGGAACCCCGGATCTTCAACAATTTGATATGCCCAATGTGCTAATGTTAATTGATTCCGAAATTTCCGATATTAGATGTCATAGGCAGACATTCATCTGATTGGCTGATGTAAATCAATTGCCCGGGTAACTTATTTATACAGTTTAAAGTATTTTGAGAACGTTTCACTAACAAAAAATCATCGTAAAAGCCATTTCTAACGTCGTGCAAAAATAATCAGTAACCTCAAGAACTTCACTTAAAAACGAAATTTCGTTATTTATTACTATAACTATCTCGTTTGGCTATATACAAGTACTGAATGCAAAAAAAAACCAGTAATAAACGAACGATCAAGTCGTTTAAGGTAAATTTAGATTCTAAAAAAAAAACTTTTATAGGTTTTTAACTTATCGTATTTTAAGTTCAACATACTTTTTAATAATCTTAATTAATACGTATAAATATGGCTTTAGATATGTACGTATATGTACATCGATTAATAAATATAGACCGAAGACAGTAGTGAATGGTGTTGTTTAAGAATAAAGAGTGAAAATTCCCTTTTGATGGGTACAAATACGAGTCATAACCAGAAAGATATGTGATATTGCTTAATTTATAATGTATAGCAACCTGAGCAAAGGCAATAATAGAATAAATAATTAATAAAAGATAATTAATGAAGATAGTATGTATTTCGTATAAAGTTTCGTCTACTTTATGAATTCGTTGATCTGATTTGTTAATTATCACGGGTAATCACGAATAGATCTATAAAATCAACCATTCATATGAACGTCCAGCAATTTTTCACCTTAATCTTAATGTTAGAAAAACTCAGGACGCTCTACGTATATGGGTGTCATATATATAAAATTGGACCGGGTTCAAAAATAATTACACATATTTGTAAGCAAGGTTTGGATTTGGGACGATTTTGGAATCGAGTTTTCGGGCACCAATGAATTTTAAATCAAAATCAGATTACAAGAAATTTTTAAATTTTTTCATATGAATATTACTACATTGGAATTTCTGACTAAAAATTTTTTAACCATGCCCAAGCGCCTCATCACATGACTTCATTAGTCAAGTTTAGTCATAACCTACAAATTTTTTTTTAGCACTCTCGAATCGATACTTTCAAAGTAACTCTTATCACTTAATGCTTAATTCTAAAGGTTTTTCGCCAAGACTCCATAACAAGTCAAAAATATGGCGTACACAATTACTCCACAGTTACGAGATAAAATTAACCATTTTGCACGATTTCCTCAAACTGGCGTGTCTTTGAGACAGATGGTCATGTTTGGTGCGCGTCTAAAATTCACTTGGAATTTTATTGCCTTTCGAATAACGTGCTAATTTTCTATTTTACACGCTTAGGGCAAACTCCTTCCCAAGGAACATTGCTGAGGGCAACCCAGTTTTTGGCGGGTACAGTACATTTAGATTTTTTTTATTTTTTATTTTTTCAATTCTCAAATAAAATTAATTCTGTATATTTGATATATAGATGAGCTCCCGATTCGCATCGCACATCGAATTCAAGAGTTAGAAAATTTACCTCATAATTTGAGTGAAATGAAATCAATAATCAAAGTAAAAAACTGGTATGCGCAATCTTTTGAGGTATGAATTGTTCATAATTGATTTATAGTAAATTTGAAAACATTTTACTATCTTTTTCTTGAAAATACTTTATATATTTAAATTTACATGATATTTTTAGGAGCTTATAAATTTTCCTAAAATTGAACTTCCTTCAAGCATTAGGAATAAAATTTCATCAGGCTCTATCATTCAAAAGTTACCAGATAGTGTTCCGAATCCAAGCTATTCTGGGATGTTAAAACCATCTATTCCAATTTCTCGCAGGTATAATAAAATTAATGAATATTTCTTATTAATTTGGTATTATACTAATTAGGTTGTAATGGCGCGTTCTTTTTGAAGGTATTATACGAAGGTCGATGATGTTGAATGGCCGCCTGAAATTCAATATTATAACGAAAAATTTACTAAGTTAATTCAAGCGATCAAGGAACGACATAGTTCTGTTGTTTCTACAGTGGTAAGTATATTACACATCAAGTATTTTTTCGATACGTGAAATGTAGCTGATTTTTTAAAACCCTCAACTTAGGGTAAGGCTTTTTCTGATCTTAAAAGCACTTAATTGGTTTTATATGATATTTAAAGTGAATCATAATAATACATAATTTCAGCACAAGGCATTAAAGAATATAAGCAAAATAAGAAATCAGCTGTAATAGATACGGACATTCAAGCTTTCTTGGACCGTTTCTATATGTCACGCATAGGAATTCGTATGCTTATTGGTCGGTTCTCTAATTACATTATGATTAAATAAACTTGTACAGAATCACCGTTTCTCACAAATTATATTTGCTATAAAATTTTAAAGGTCAACATGTCGCGTTGAATAAACTACCTTCTCGGCCGGATTATGTAGGTATTATTTGTACTAAAACAAATATTGCTCAAGCTGTCCAAGACGCTGCCGATAATGCCAAGTTTATATGTGAAGAGCATTATGGCTTATTCCGTGCACCTGAAATCCAGTTGCATTGTTCCAATGATTTATTGTTTACGTATGTTCCGACGCACTTAAGCCATATGCTATTTGAACTACTAAAAAACAGCCTGCGTGCTGTGGTCGAAAAATTTGGTGAAATGGACGATTATCCACCAATCAAAGTGATTGTTGCTGAAGGAAAAGAGGTAGAGAAGTGGAAATATTTCAAGAGATTATAATATCTTTATTATTCTTGAAAAGAGTTTTAATATAGAAAAACAAAAAACCAAACCCAAACAAAAAAAAAAAAAATGCTTTTTAGGACATTACAATCAAAATATCTGATGAGGGTGGCGGTATACCGAGAAGTAATATTCGTTTGGTATGGACGTATATGTATACAACAGCCCGCACAGAACAACTGGACCCTGAATTCAATCAAACAGACTTTAAGGCACCAATGGCCGGATTGGGATATGGGTTACCGATTAGCAGATTAGTACGTTGAATTTATTAATTATAACCAAGTATTTCATAATTTTCTAATACTAACTCCATACATAACCTTACTGCATAATAAAGTATGCTAGATATTTTGGAGGTGATTTGAAACTTATTTCAATGGAAGGGTAATAATAATTATTTAACTTTATTGTCGCTAATAATGTTTTGCATTGAATATATGTTTAATTACTTTGGGTTGTATATTTTTTAGATACGGAACGGATGTTTATCTTCATTTAAATAGAATTTCAAATAGCGATGAACCTCTTCAATAATTTAATTGATTCAAGAATTTTAGCCTTATCTATAGTAATATATTTTACTAATTTTTGCAATAAAAAAAAAAAATTATTATAATATAGACTAAATTTCATAACCTATACCCTTTTAAGTATATACATGAAATTAACTTTCTATTTATTGTGTTTTTTTTTTAAACTCGAACATGCGTAATAAAAGCGATATTTGTATACGATCTTAGCTATTCGATTTGCTAATGATGAGATTGATCAATGCTATTTGCTAGCGTTAAGGCTCAATTATGATTTATCTATGAGCGTTCCAATAAAGTTCTAACATTATTCGTCCCAACTTTTTGACCACAAACTCTTGTTATTATCTATAGATATTCATTTAGTACAATTATACATATGTACGTACGTAGGTTAATGACGCAAATTTAAAAAATTATCGGAATAACGGGCATCTGCACGTTATTTTCGGGAAGCGCATAGGCGTTACTTCGAAGCTAATTATACTATTCTGGGGGCAGTTTCGAAATAACGCTCATGCCCGCTATATTGAAGATTTACGTAGATTGTAATTTAAAAGGAGAAAATTTGTTTGTTATATTCCATTTAAAATTTCCATTCGACGATTCAATGCTTAAATCTAGGGTCCCTAACCGAGTCAACCACGTGCAGGGTTGGCAATGGAGCCCAATGAAGAGCTCTGAATGGAGCCAATGGATACTAGTTTTTTGAGTTCCATTGCCAACCCTGACCGCGTAAACCGGTTGGTAGCATGGTAAACTGAATTAAAGCAGGTAACAGTACGTATATAGGAATTGGCTAATTGTCCGGGTAAATTACTTATACATTTATTTGGTGACTAGTTAAGAATGTTTCAAGAATTTTTTTTTTTTTTAGTGTGTAAATGTATCATCATTGCGCTTGCTCCCCTCAGCGAAATCCACCACTACAGCAAATAGCTTGTGTAATCCACAACAGATCTAGCCTCAAAAGTGTGATCATAAAATTAATAATCATCGACTTTTCGTTTTCAATCGGTGTGTTAAGGGAGAAGGAAGGAGATAATGTTCGATTATATTCTATTAAACATGTGAATTTCTGATGGTCATATTTTATTGTTAGTAATACAACTTGACGTCAATTATACACATTTGGTGAGGTACAAATCGATTTATTATCCGGAACGAAGTGGAGGACTGTTTTACAACAGAGTGATCGTCCGCTCCCGTTAGACTGATTGATTGAATATAGAAAGTATAAATAACAAGTTCTTGCGTTACACTAAGACATCAAAATCTTCACTCGATAGCGCGAATGGAAGGAAAAAAATAAATGCAAACAGCTTTTTAAAAATGTCTCCTACATAGTACATATTTAATGTCGGGAAATAATTTATTTACTACTGTATTTATGTTCATTAATGTTCTTTTTTTTTTATTCTAGGATCTGTATATCGATATTCTATCTTGTATGTCTTTTCAAGGCCTGGTGGCGGTGGTGGTTCAGTAACCTTAACAAGCAATAAAGTAGCAGCAGCCTATGAAAAATTCTGTCAGAATCATTGAAAATAATATAACAAATATAAAGAGAATATAAAGTATTAAAATACCTGAGCAATACCGTAAAACAACATTCCAACCAATGGTAGTCTTATTAAAGAATAATATCCAATAGAGAAACCAAATAATATTCCTTCTCTTTCCTTAAACCATTTTTTTTTAATTTCTTTATCAAATTTAATTCTTCCAAAATAAGGTTCTAATAATTCTCTCATCAAAGCTCTTGATGAATACAAAATTTCCAAAAATATCATAGCAAATGGCTTTGTACCTGGTGTTACATACATTAAAATACCCACAATAAAGGCTGGTGTATAGCCTAATGAATTTACTAAAGCGTAAGCACTCGCGATCGGATAAACCAACGCACCAATCATTGGTATTAATGAAAGGAAATACAACATCATCACCCAAGCGATTTGATTTCCAGTACGTATTAAATATTGTCTTAATTCATCCCAATAATTTATATTATACTCGTAGCGTTCTAAAGCAGGAGTATACGGTGGCCTAAGGTCTTGTTCATTTGTATGTTTTTGAATATAAATAATGTCAACATAATGTAAAGATTCCATAAACACTGAGTCCAATGATTGTGGATACAAGTAACGCATAAGTAAAAGTCCTAAGAAAGGTAAATTCAACACATAATTTGTAACCCATAAGTAATTCTCAGTGAACTTAGAGTGATCGTATTTAAAAACAAAGGAAAAAAGATAAATTAAAAAATGTAATAGTTTTAAAGGAATCGCTAAGAAAGTCGAGGTAACAAAATAGAGTGTAATGCTGACAACAGCCAGGAACAAATATATTTTCATAAAACCGTGTTTGTATAAATTTTGGTTTTGAAAAGCCAATACGGAACCTAACCAAGCAAGTTGGGCTCCACGTATTACTTGTGTCAAAGACCAAGTCATTTTTATAACAAAGAAGAGAGTTATTTTTTATTTTTTATATATTTATACTTTATCAGGTATGAAAATTTTATGATCATATGATTATATAACTGTATAATGATCTACAATTCTATAGATTTTGATATAGATTGTCAAATTTGATAAGAATTTATTTAATACTCCTCATCCTCGTAAAAGCTTTACGTCCAAGCCTAGTTCTTCTTTTATTAGGGATTGCCTCTTCTCTGTAACCTATATGTGGTTTGGGTGCTTCTTCTAACCCAAATAATTTAGGATCTTCTCTTATTGCATATTCATAGGCAACTCTTCTTTCACTTAACACATGTCTGATCCTCGCCATTGATTTTTGTGTCTGTTATAAATTATCGATGGAATTTGGTAAAAAAAATTTTTTTTTGTTAAAAAAAAAAAAAGGTACAAGTACGACAGTATTAATTTAATATAATTATAGCAACATCTACCTTAAATTTTCTATCATCCCATCTTTTCAGCCATTCTTTATCAGCTATTTTATTCCAGTGTTTTGCTTCTTCAAACATTGTAGCAAGTAAATTACGCTCTTTCAATAGAATATACCAGAGTTTATGTAGGTCTTCAAAAGATTTTACGCGTAATTCTGAAGCTGTCCATGACCGACCTTGTCACAACAATAAATGCAAATTGATTAATAAAGTTTTATAATTTTATTATATAAAGCATTGTAATCTTTGCTAGTGAAAAAGAAAAACTAGAAAAGAGACCCCTCGTGTTATCTCCCTTTAAAATAATTGATTACCTGTAATCATATCTTTGACATTAGGTAACGGATTGGGATTATGCATACCACCCTGAAAAAATTCATATAAACCCCTAACATTAAGACTACTTGCAGCCTTCCAATTCACTAAATTTTTAGAAATTATAGGTGAGGCATGAAATGAACGGAATATCGTTGTGTATTTGTTCATTTTGATGATCTTCGGTTTTTAAAAGTCGACTTTTTTATATAATCTCCACGTGATACGGACAATGCAAAACGGAAATTCTACGGACAGAGCTTCGGGACAGAACGGGACAGAGCAGAGTCACGTGATGTTCAAGAAGAGAAAAATAAAACTTTTCCTAACTCTAAATCAAAATATCTTAGTAACCA